CCCTGCTGAGGATTTGGGGATGTTAGGTGGACTCAGGGCTCCAAGCTCACAATGAGCAGAGGGCCTTAGCTACTGGGTGCCTCAGCTGAGGACCCACATTTTGATTGTGAACTCCTCTCCCCTGCTGAGGATTTGGGGATGTTAGGTGGACTCAGGGCTCCAAGCTCACAATGAGCAGAGGGCCTTAGCTACTGGGTGCCTCAGCTGAGGACCCACATTTTGATTGTGAACTCCTCTCCCCTGCTGAGGATTTGGGGATGTTAGGTGGACTCAGGGCTCCAAGCTCACAATGAGCAGAGGGCCTTAGCTACTGGGTGCCTCAGCTGAGGACCCACATTTTGATTGTGAACTCCTCTCCCCTGCTGAGGATTTGGGGATGTTAGGTGGACTCAGGGCTCCAAGCTCACAATGAGCAGAGGGCCTTAGCTACTGGGTGCCTCAGCTGAGGACCCATATTTTATACCCTCCCATCCCTCCTGATTGTGAACACCTCTGTGCCATAAAGGTGAAAGTGGGTGCATATGGTGCTCATCGTGAGGGGAAGAAATCCTCCATCACCCACCGTACCACAGGCCTCCATCTCTGGGCACCAAACCCATCCTCCCAGCTCACAGGAGCCCGCTCCTAGCAGGGCATCACCAGGGGTCTTAGAGCATCCTTTCCCTGATCTCTTCCTGGGGCTCTCCACTGAGGCAAAGAGTTGTTAGCACTGCCCAGATACCAACAGTTGCTAACAGTCTTTGGAGAGAAAGACAAGCTCCGGCAGCAGTGATGGGGGGGGGGGGGAGCATCCTTCCACAAAATTTATTGTTGCTGCTTCTGCCTCGAGTACACCCCACCGTGGCCCCTCCAGCCAGAGCCAGAAAGCAGCTGTCTCTCCTCCAAGCTTCTCCAGTCTTGGGGTCCCACTTTGGAAACATTTCCACATCTCCCCAGTGACCCCTGTGTGGCAGAGTGCCAGGTGTGCCACACCCACATCTGGATGGGAGCAAACCCCCAACATGACACTTGTCCTCCTCCCGCAAAGGGTGCACCCCACTGTGTTGCTACCAGGGAAAAGAAAGGCAGCCAGTGGGGGGAGGAGGAGGAGAAGCCACTCCCTCCAAGAGGTCATTCCTCTGGGGATGTCAACAGTGCCATCCAGAAGGGCTACGTGGAGGGCCCATGAAGCAGTCACTTACTTCATTGGCGAGATGATTGCTGTGGGTGGCTAACCCTTCTCCCCTGTGGAGGATATAGCCTTTCACTGGCTGCTGCAACACCCGGCTCCCTGGCACCCCCTCCCCTTGCGGAGGACCATGAGCCGATGAGTCTTGCCCACCATGCACCAATCCGCAGTGGCAATGGTCAAGGCTGAGCTCTCTAGAGCATGAGGCAGAATTGTGCACTTCACAGCAGACCTCCAGAGCAGCCGGCAGCTTGGTTACCTCTCCCTCACCACCCACTGTTGGCAACCAGAGGGCCTCTCTGTCCAGACTGCTGGGGCACAGCCCAGGGCCCAGCAGGCGACAGTCCTGCCACCGAGCTACAAAGTGGTCCTGCTCGGTGCGCGTGGGATAGATGCAGATCACACGGTGCAAAACATCACCACAGTGAGCCAGAGTAGCCTGAGGGAGTGGGTGGGCAGCAACACCATCCGTGGATACGTGGTCACGGACCCCGATGCCAACATGCTGGCGGTGGTGAAGGCTGTGCTCCTCAAGGGCGTCTGCCTGGCACACATGTTTTGCCTGGTGGCGAAGGATGCTCTGGGGCTGAGTAGCCCTGATCATGGCCACCTGGGGTGCTGCCACCCATGAGATGCAGCCCTTGCTGGAGACCTGCCAGTGCCTGGCCACCCCCCTTCTTGTGCAGGATCAGGTCTGCGCGTCTGCTGTGAGAGGTGCAGCAGGAGGGGGATGATCCTTATCCACCCGCTGGGACTCCACCTACACCATATGATGGCACACTTGGCGGAGCAGGAGAGCGTGGTGCAGGGTGCAGAGTCATAGGGTCACAGAGTTGGAAGGAAGGAGCCCTACAGGCCATCTAGTCCAACCACCCCCTGCTCAATGCAGGATCAGCCTAGAGCATCCCTGACAAGGGTTTGTCCAGCCTCAGCTTAAAGGCTGCCAGTGAGGGGGAGCCCCCCACCTCCCTGGGCAGCTGATTCCACTGGGGCACAACTCTGACTGTAAAAAAAGTTTCCCCTAATATCCAGCTGGTACCTTCAGGCCCTTAATTTAAACCCATTATCGCGAGTCCTAAGCTCTCCTGCCAACAAGAACAACTCCCTGCCCTCCTCTAAGTGACAGCCCTTCAAAGACTTAAAGAGAGCCATCCTGTCCCCCCTCAACCTCCTCTTCCCCAGACTGAACATTCCCAAGTCCCTCAGTCTTTCCTCACAGGGCCTGGTCTCCAGGCCCCTGATCATCCTCATCACTCTCCTCTACACCCACTCCATTCTGTCCACATCTTTTTACACCAGGTGCAGCCTGACCAGCCAGCTGAACAGGTGTTTCCTCTGAAGAACAGTAGAATACACCATGGTGCTTCACCCGGGGGGGGGGGGAGAGAGTTGTGAACACGCTTCCCTTGCCCCCCACCTTCCGTTTCTCCTGCAGACATTCTCTGGGACTTTGATTCTGTTTGCTGGGCTTCTGTTGCCCTTGCTTTTTTTGCTGGTTTCCCCCCCTCCATTGGAAACAATGGAGGAAGGGGCACTTTCTTTAGGGGGATGTAAATCACACCCCATTAATCAAATCTTCACCAGACTTGGAGGGCAGGTAGAGGAGACTCGGCCAGAGATCCCCTGAGAGTTTCGTGTCTCTAGTATGCCAGGGGACATTCTACCGTGTCATGAACCTCACTAACCAAACCGTTTTGTTTTGCCCAAAAAAGTTCAGGATGGCCTGTGGATCCCAAATTGGACACACCACGAACCACATTCTGAACCACATCTTCCTAGTTCATACCCATCCCTAATAATTTCCCAGCCAGCTGTGTTATACAAGTCAACAAAAGAAGCCATAATAGCATTCTCTCTCTAAAATCATAAATTTTGAACAAGTGCTTAAATGTTTATCATCACAGATGGGGGACTTTGGTTGGCTGGACTTCACTCTATAGCAAAACAAACACAGAGATACCTCATAGGGCAACCCATAAGGGAGGGGGGGAATTACGGGCCTTTAGCTAGAAAAACTAAAAACACCTGAGGTTCCTTTCACCTGGGAAAGACTCACACTGTTCCAGTAGATTTTGATTCTGCAGCAATCCCAATCCAAAACTTGGCTCTTAGTGTACTGGTAAGAAAGTAGCATTTGAGAATGAACATGAAATATAGGCTAAGCTTCCATTTCACTTTTATTATCTTGGTAATCAATATTGCTTCTCTCTAGTAACTCAACATCATTCCTATTGTACCTATAATCTACCTTCATAAACGGCTTGCTTGTCTTGACGTAAACTGTAAATTCTGATTAAGGTAACAAACTGAGATGATCAAGGAGTATATCTGGACTCCACAGAGACAACAGATCTGAAAATAATTCTGATTTATCCCATGAGGTTCAGGAGACAGTGTGAGCTTACCCCGTGACCTGGTGAGTCAGCCTGGGGGTGGCAGAAGCAACTTGTGGTAGAATGACTGGGGTCAATATCCTGACGCAGTACAAAAAGAGGGAATACTCATGCAGGCTGTTTTGGGAGAAGAGTTAGACTTCATGGGACTATTAGAAAGGTGTCACCAGAACCTGGATGAAACAAGACCCTGGGCTTGGGGATTATTCCCCTCTAGTTATCTCCCATCTTAAGCATTACCTGGGCTTCAGGGATTCTGCAGAGGAGTGTACTCTCTCACGCATACATCTCACCTACTTTAGACAAGGTCTTCAAGGATCATGTGCAGAGTATCAACTTCATTTTGTGGGCAACAAGGTCTGTCTCCTGCTTCTCTGAAGAATATAAACATTTGCGTGTTTGTCTCTCTCTCCTTCTGGTCATACAGTCACTGCTCTTGGACTTCAGGCAGGGGTTTCGCCCAACTCTCCAGCCTGAAGCACATCAGCTTTCTCTCTAGGTGGGATCACGATAACCAGGTGGCTGGATGATAAAACAGACTGTTGGGAGATGGATTTTATTTATTTATTTATTTATTTATTTATTTATTTATTTATTTTCATGCCCTGCCTTTCTCCCCAGTGGGAACCCAAAGCAGCTGACATCACTCTCCTCCCCTCCATTTTATCCTGCAGCAATAACCCTGTGAGGTAGTAGAAAAGAGCAAGAGTCCAGTAGCACCTTAAAGACTAACAACATTTGTGGCAGGAGATACATATGTGTGTGTTTTGTCTGCTTACCTGGAAGTCATGCTTGGCTTCTGGCAACCCCTACTGGGGGCTTGGACATTTCTCACAGGGGTGGCCTCTGACTACCCTGCCTCTGCCTCCCTCCTCCAATAAGCCTTGGAGGTCTCCTTTCCAGGTCCTTGGCGGGGTCGTCCCTGCCCAGCTTCTGAGATCTGACGGGATCGGGCTCGCCTGGGCTACACAGGTCAGGGCGATACAGATGAGCTTTTGTGAGTCACTGCTCACTTCTTCAGATACAGCTAGAATGTGAGTCCACCTGCCCTGCCCAACATGACAGGTGTGAGCCCGTCTTTGAGTCTTTGAGGCTGGTTCGGCTGAGGGTGTGAGGCTGGGCCAAGGTGACCCAGCAAGCCTCTTTAGTAGACTGGGTATTCCATGGTAGACTGGGAATCAAATCTGGATCTCTTGGATCCTAGGCCAGCGCTCTAACCTCTATACCACGCTGGCTCTCTATGGACAAGGTAAAAACAGTGGTGAAACTGAAGACCGTGGATGCGTCGAGACCAAGAATGGCAGAAAGCCTGCTCTGGTTTTAAAGCTATGAACCTGGCAGAGATGAGTGGGACGTTGTCTGCTTCTGGCTTTTATGCTATTTGTTAAGCTTGGCTAAGCCCGACAGTCCCCTCTAACCAATCTCCCGTTTCTCTGCAGGTCTACACACGCTATGGGAAGTGCTACACGTTCAACGGTGACAGAAACAAACCACGGGTGACCCGCCAGAGCGGAATGGGCAATGGGCTGGAGATCATGTTGGACATCCAGCAGGAGGAATACCTGCCCATCTGGAGAGAGACGAGTAAGGGCAACAGTGGGGCTGAATGGAGACGGAAGGGAGGATCCCCAAAGGCTCTGTGGCAGCATATTCACACACACCCCTCCTGCCCAGGTGCCACACCTCTTGCCTCTGGTACCAGATCCTCCCTGGTGGGCATCACGGGCATCACTGGCAGCACCAAGACCCACTGATGGTCAGCTGGGTGGCTAGTTGTGGCAGTGGCAGGACGTGCAGAGTGGCAAGGGTTCTGCTCCCTGTTCAGAGTTAGAGTTCAATGGGAGAAGAAGGATGGCCTAGGAGAAGGATCTGTAAACCACAGACATCCAATTATTAATGTATTCCAAATACTGAAAATGAGTTTGCAATCACAGACATGTGACCCAGTTTACTAGACTGCCTATAAATCACATTAGACACATAAGAATCTGATGTTCTGGTGTGTTCAGACTGGTGATCCTGACTTCTGATCATTTCAAAAATTGAGGGCTATTTTTGGGCAGGAACGCACAGGAACGGAGTTCCGGCTGGCTCCAGAGTTGGCCACGCCCAGCAGGAGCTCATTAGCATAATAGGCCACACCCAACAGCAGAAACTCATTAGGATTGGCTACATTAGGGGTGTGTGGCCTAACATGCAAAGAAGTTCCTGCTACAAAAAAAGCCCTGGGTTTTGACAACAGACAAGGTAAACAGAATAAGAAGCAAAAGGTGAGTGTGGTAACATGGGGGTGCGGCCTCATGCTAAAGAGTGGTGCTGTCAGGGGTGTGGTTTAATATGCTAATGAGTTTCTGCGGTTGGGTGTGGCCTATTATGCTAATGAGTTCCTGCTGGGCTTTTTCTACAAAAAAAGCCCTGACTGAACCTATGCGTCTTATAAGTGCATGTAATATCTGAGCACAAATCGGTCTCTTGATAAGGCCATAAGGAGCAGCCCCGGAAGTGGCTGGGAAAGATGGAGACACATAGATGTAAAAGAAGGCCTATGGGTGTCGTACTCATAGAGCGATATGGATGGATTTATTCCACCAAGGTCTGGCAGAACAGGACCATCCTCGTGGCCAAGGTTCCCTCTAAGCTGTAGAGTCTTGTGAGTGAAAATGTTACTTTGTGAGCTACTGGCATTAAAGTTGTGAGTGAGCTGTTTGGCTGCTGCATAAATTAGCTTGCTCTGGAGCCCTCCTTTCTGAGCTAAGACCAAAATGTGTGAGCTGGAGGCTAAAAAACTGAGCTAGATCACACTCACTCAGCTTAGAGGGAACACTGATCGTGGCTCCCATTTTTTTCCTCTTGTAGATGAGACGTCATTTGAAGCTGGAATTCGGGTACAGATCCACAGCCAGGATGAGCCCCCATACATCCACCAGTTGGGCTTTGGAGTCTCCCCAGGTTTCCAGACCTTTGTGTCCTGCCAGGAGCAGCGGGTAAGAGATACAGGGCAGGGAGACAAAAGCTCCACCTGCAGGGAAAACACGCCTGGAGACTGTGCAGAGTTTGAGACTGGCTGAGCGTGCCTCAGACAGTAACAAGATAGCGGATACAGGCAATGAGCCACACCAAATGAGGCAAGGATAAAGCACTGCTCCCTTCAGTTAATGGCTCTTTCCCAAGAGTCCCCCTAGGGAAGATCTTTAAGGTTGTTCTAATAAAGTTAGGCCAGCATCCTACTAGGAATTATATTAATCTAGCCTTGAATTTAATTGGAACAGAAATGCTTAGAATTCCTTCCTGGTCTGTTTTAACCATCCAAACCACCTAGTGAGAGGAAGGATGGTTCTCAAAGGGGTGATGTTTTAGCGGGACTAAGCTAAGGCACCTCTTCTTTCCCTGTCCCATCCCACAGAAGCCAGGAATCCACTGCTACAATGGATTTCAGTTAGAGGATAATACTGTGGTTTAGAGTGGGCATTTTAATCAAACCAGTTGCGTACAGAGGAGTTAAACAAACCAGCATCTGACAGCTGAAGGAACAGCAGTATGACACTTTGTGATGCTATTCAATCAACTCTGCTGTATTTCAATTAACTCTAATGCCATTTGAATGAAGATACTGAAGTGTCGGCAAACCTGCTGGGGTTTTAGTCATTTTTCTTTTCTAACATAGTAGGTGTATTTTTCCTACAAATTTAGAAAGGGGAACTGTGGTTCAAGAAGCACTAGGATCTCTTATGACTGAACTCTCCATGCCTCACAAAACTGCAATTGTCAGCATCCTTCAGGGGTAAGTCACGAGAGTTAAAATGACATAAAACGGACAGGATTTTCAAGCACAGTGTGGCCTTGCCGGGGGTGGGGGGGCAGTGGGATGTCACAAGTATCTTCCACAGTAGGCAGAGACTTATCTGGGCTCCATGATGCTTAATAATGCTCCCTTCTGTGCCACGGCTCCCTTCACGCGCCCCCCTTCTGCCTTTGCCATGAATGGACTCCACCAGGCCTGGCCCAGGCCCACAGCTCCTCCTCCCGGCTCCCCTTCCCTCCTTCCTCAACCACTTTGCCACCCTCTCTGCCCCTTTCCCCCTTGACATTTCATCCCTGGGGCTCTGCCCGTGCTGGCCAAGCCCAGCACTCTGCCCTCCCTCCTCTGAGCCCTGCTCCTCTCTGAACCCCGTGCCTTGCCCCGGCTGGGTTTGCACAGGGCCAGTCAGAGACTCTGGCTTTCAGCCTAGCCTCCAGCCAAAGCCTCTGGCTGGCAAAGATTCCTGCCCAGGCTGTTGTGCTCAGCAACTAATTAATGAGGAGGGAAGCTCTCCTACAGGGGTTAAACCCCCACCCCCCGCTTGGGCCAACCCAGTTCTGACACCCAGGCGGTGCACCCCTACCCCAACCCCATGGTGGATCCGCTGCTGCCGCCTTGGGCCTCTGGTGCCATCTCTGTTGACGCAGAGTTCTATCCCTAAGTGGGGGAAATCTCACAGCTCTTTTACTTCCCCCTCTTCCTTCAAGGAACTTCTGCACAACACATGGTTCTTTCCTTCTAACCTTACAACAACCCTGTGAGATAAGTTAGGTAGAGGAAGAGTGACTAGGGTTGCCAAGTCAAAATTTTGCCGAAGCGGGGGACTCCCCGCTGGCGGCTGGAGCGCGCGTGCGCTGCACGCACGTCACCCGGAAGTGACGTGACGACGCCGGGCACGCTGGAGGCGGGGCCACAACCATCTGAGGGAAAACCATAGAGTTTTCCCTCGGATGACCGTGGCCCCGCCCCCAGCGTGCCCGGTGTCATTACGTCACTTCTGGGTGACACGCACGTCAGGGTGGGGTTCCCCCCGGGGCCCGATCCGCCGGCAGCGGGGAGCAGGCCTCTGGGGTGAGGGTTTCCCCGCCCCCCGGGGGGGACTTGGCGAGCCTAAGAGCGACTGGCCCACAGTGCATGGCTACAAGGGGATTTGAAGTGGGCTCTCTCTCTCTCAGATGCTTGCCTGACACTCTGACTACTGCACCACACTGACTGGAGTTATCATTAAGGGCCTCGGAGGAGGAGGAGGAGGTTGATGCCTTAAAGACACACTCCTTCACAGGTGTTGTGGTCAGAGGAACGCTTGAGATGCCGAAATTTAATCCCTGCAATCAGCATGAACTGTTAAGAGCTATTTCAAAAGGGGACTCACAAAAACCCACAGCAGATGCAGCCTTTTAAAGAGGAATGTTCCCTAATCAGGCATTCAATTAATTACAGTGAATTATATCTGCCTTCTCTCCCTCCTCAGCCATGTTAAAATTAAACTCTACCCATGCCACCTAGTTCTGTTTTAAATTTAGCTTGGCTTCAGTGCTAAGCAGGGGCCAATTTTAAATGTTCCATACATACCAATGAATTGGCGTATGCAGAATAATCTGACTTCTCTGTAGCCTTGCGGCCACTTCGATTATTCATCAGAAGGTTCATTCCTCAGCATTACAATGAAAGCCATTTTCATAGCAAAAAGTGTCGAGTCAACATTTTGTTATTTGAAGGTCCGTTTCTTTGCATTCTGGCAGCATCTGTTTGAAGGAGACTGTGTGGTCACATCAGGTATTTGCTTTTCATTATATGCTGATCTCCGACACACACGTGCACTCACAGAGACCTTTTAGTGATGTTGTTTAGAATGTATACAGTGTGTTTCAGCACACTGCATATGCATTATCTCACTAATCCTTACAATAACCCTGTAATGTAGGCACAGTGGGAGAGGAAGGAGACATGAAGGCGGAGAGAGCAGTGGCTTGCCTAGAGCAGCTAAGTTCGTAGGTAATGGTAAGATCTGAAGTAGGGCCATGCTTGGTTTATACTCTAACACTGCAGTCTAGCATATACTTAAAGGTAACGGTAAAGGTTCCCTTGCTCGAAAGCCAGTCAAATCCAACTCTAGGGTTGCAGTGCTCATCTCTGTTTCAAAGCCGAAGAGCCAGCGCTGTCCGAAGACATTTCCGTGGCCATGTGGCCACACCAAGGCGCACGGAATGCTGTTCCCTTCCCATCAAAGTGGTACCTATTTATCTACTTGCAATTTCTTGCTTTCGAACTGCTAGGTTGGCAGGAGCTGGAACCAGAGATGGGAGCTCACTCCGTCATGCAGCACACTCGGGTCTCGAACTGCTGAACTACTGACCTTCCACAGCCTGCAGTTCAGCGTCTTAACCACTTGAGCCACCGCAGCTCCTATACTTACCTGGGAGTAAATTTCACAGAATTCAGTGGGACTTGCTCTCAAATAGACATCTAGTTCCATCTGTCATGTTTTTATCCCACCTGTCCTCCAAGGACCTCAGAACAGCACAGGTGGTTCTCCCCTTCTCATTACAACAACTCTGTTTGGTAGGTTAAGTCCCCATCCGACACGCCAACCCAGTGGGAACACCACATTGACAGCCATGCTAACCTCGAGCTCTTCGTTGCTATATGCAAAGCACTACCTGTTTAGGACAAAAACGGTGTTAGGATAATCCTGTTTCTCTTAGTGAGGGTACAAAGAATGTATTCTTGACCCTGAAATGTCAAGCAAGACCATTAAAAATCAGATTTAGCTATATTTCCAACCTTAGTATGGAATTCATTAATCTTGCCTTGAGCGTGGGACTGGACTTCTGTGCTGATAGGGGCAAGGACCAAGCAAAAGGTAGAGGTCTCCCTTGCTCGAAAGCCAGTCGAGTCCGACTCTAGGGCTGCGGTGCTCATCTCCGATTCAAAGCCGAAGAGCCAGCGCTGTCCAAAGACGTTTCCGTGGTCATGTGGCCGGCATGACTAAACACCAAGGCGCACGGAACCGCAGGTATATCTATGGCATAGCTTATAGGGCTGAAGTGCAGGAGAGCTTAAGTGGAAAATGGGTTTTGATGAAGCCATGGATGCACTGGGAGAGCCCTCCCTAGTCAGTCAGGGGACCACTTTCTCTTGCCACTTATCTCTCTCTCCCCTCCCCAATATCCTGCAGCTAACGTATCTGCCTCAGCCTTGGGGGAGCTGTCGAGCCAGTGTGAAAGGGGAACAGATTCTGCCTGGCTATGGAACCTACAGCATTGCCGCTTGCAGGCTGCAGTGTGAGAAAGAAGCTGTGGTGCGAAACTGCCAGTGCCGTATGGTGCATATGCCAGGTAAGTTTCCTAAGTCTTCTATTCCTCAGCCCTGGGGGCTCCTGGACCCTCTGCTGCTTGGCACACAAAACATGCATGCTCACTCTGCACCAAATCCTTGCAGTTCCCACCTTTGTCCCACCTGTCTCAGTTCTTTTAACAGCAGTCTGATATGCAGATACTTTTCCTATCCCTTATATCTGTGCTGGGAAAAGCCTCATCTGCTCAGTTTCTGGGTGTCCTACTGCTATTCATGGCACAGGAGCTGAACCTCTTCCTCTTCTGTGTCCAGTGACTTAGGGGGTAGCAGGTAAAAAAGAATACCTGATCCATCTGAGGCAGACCCCCTTTCTGTGTGTCCTTGATCATTATAGTACAACTTCATGACTTTGCCTTGCTGGCAACCACAGTCAGGCTTCTGGGTATTCTTGGGGGGGTGGGAATAAAACAGAACTATGCCCCTTCCATCTGTCATATTTGTATCCTGTGCTTCCTCCAATGAGCTCAGAGCAATGTACATGGGTCTCCCTTCCTCCATCCTGTCCTCACAACAATGCTTTGAGGTAGGTCAGGCTGAAAGTGTGTGACTGGCCCAAGGTTGACCAGCAAGATTCATGCAGAGTGGGAAGTGGAACGCAGATGTCTCCAGTCCTAGCATGATGCCAACCACTACACAACACAGTCATGTCAGAGCCCAAACTTATAGGACTGGCTGTAGCCCCTCTTAGCCCGCCTCACCTGAACCAAGAACTGGTGTGCCCCTTTCACTGTCCCCAAGCCCACAGAAGAATCAGCCATCTGCCAACTCCCTGATCTTGTTGTTGTTATTCAGTCGCACAGTCGAGTCCGACTCTTCACAACCCACTCCAGTCTCTTTGCCAAGAAAACCCCATGGGCAGTAACAAAAGGCTACCTGATCTACACACTGCCACCTCTGCTCCACATATCTCAGCCCTCTGAGTCTGGAGGAGAAAGTGTTCTTGTCACATGTGCCTCATTTCTGGCTCTGGTTCCACTGCACTCCCTCTCTGCCCACTCCCAAAGCTAGATGCATCTTGTTCCCTGCTTGCTGCTTGGGTTTCTCTGGTCTCCTTGGACCACAGGCTCACTCCTTTACAGTTCCCTTGCTGCTTCTCACCTGCAGAAGCATCTGCCCTGAGGTAGCATAGGAAAGGAAAGGTTCTTCCACATGCTATCCCAGGGCCACTTCCTAAAGTTGCCTAAGGATATTACCAGCCATAACCCTCCCCAAACCCATAGGAACTGGAATTCTGGGTAAAGGGGACACAACTAGTTCCTTCTGGGCACCTCACTAACCAGGTCCTCCTCTTCCAGGTAACGAGTCCATCTGCTCACCCAATGTCTACATTGAATGTGCTGACCACACCCTTGGTAGGTATTTCCTCAGATACTGACCAGCCCAACTGGGGGAAGTTTGGGGCAGCTGCTGAAACTCAAGTGGAGCACCTGGAACCTGGGGGATCAGCTTTGAGAGTCCAATTGACTAGTTCGAAGGAGGCCAGTAGCCGTCACCTTGTGGAATGGAAGGATGTTATGTTTTGGGGATGGACACAGAGAACGCCATAGATTTCTCTTTCCCAGACAAGCACTTCATCCCAACAGTGGTTTCTCAGGCAGTGCAACCCATGAGCCAGGATACGACTGTGACTTCCTTTGCCGTGTCATGGATGGGTGGGTGGTGGGATGCTTTGGCAATTCTTCCCATTATGCCTAATGCAGGCCTTTCCACTCACAGATACAGCTGTTGAGGATTCTCAGGAACACTGTGTCTGCCCCACCCCTTGCAATTTGACACGCTACGGCAAGGAGATCTCCATGGTGCGCATCCCCAACAAGGGCTCAGCCCGCTACCTGGCCCGCAAGTACAACCGCAATGAGACCTACATTCGGTGAGTGTCTCATGGCTGATAAGATCTGCAATCTAGTTTGTAGCTGAGGCCAATAAGGAGGGTGGGGGACTCCAGGACATAATGAATAGAGCCAGGAGGGGATTCTGTTGGGAACAAAGGGGGAAAGGCCACCCGGTGTGACTCCTCCTCTCTCTACCTCTCCAACTGTCCTCAGGGAAAACTTCCTGGTGCTGGACATCTTCTTTGAGGCACTGAACTATGAGGCCATTGAACAGAAAAAGGCCTACAACCTGGCAGGGCTTCTGGGTAAGTGAATGCGCTCGACTACCCATCTGCCAGCCACCAGCCATGTGTTAGGGCAACTGCTGCAGATACAATTGGTAAGCAGTCTGACGGGACCTGGCTCTTGGTCAAGCAGTATGTTGCTACAACAGGGGCGTCTTGCCAGGTGAAGGCTGTACAGGGTTTGGTAGCACCTCCTGGACTCTTCTAGTAATGACAGCTCCTAAACTAGCAGCTCAGCGGCAGCCCAGTCGCTCCCCCCTTCTGGCAAGTCATCACAGTGGTGCAGAGAGCAAAACGACAAGTGATGGCAGCCATGGGTCCATCCCATGGCCACCGATGCCATTTTAGAACCATTTGTAGTTCTTTAAACATTGCTGTGGGGCCCCAATCCAGAATGGGCATGCAGGATGGCAACCTCAGGAGTTCTTGTGTCCCCGCCCCCCCCCCCGGTGCCTTTTCAGGTGCAGAAACAGTCCTTTCAGCACTTGAAAAGGTATGTGGGGGGGGGAACAGTGGCGGTAACATCTGGCTTAATCAATCCTGGACCCATTGCAGTCTGGTTTCTGCCCTGGGACATGGGACAGAGACAGTGATGGTCGCCCTCACAGATGACCTCCGGAGACATCTGGATCGGAGTGGGTCGGTGCTGCTAGTGCTTCTTGATCTAATGGCAGCATTCGACACAGTTGATCATGATCTCTTGACCCACCGCCTCGCCGACATAGGAATTATGGCGACTGCCTTACAATGGTTTTCCTCCTTTCTCCACAGAGGGTGGCACTTGGTGAGAAGGTCTCCCAGCGACACTCCTTGGTGTGTGGAGTGCTACAAGGGGTGACCCTCTCACCCAGTGGGTACGGGTGGCACTTGGTGAGAGGGTCTCCCAGCGACACCTCTTGGTGTGTGGAGTGCTACAAGGGGCGATCCTTTCACCAATGCTGTCTAACGTCTCACCCAGTGGGTTCGGAGGTTTGGGCTGGGTTGTCAGCAGTATGCTGATGACACTCAACTCTTTCTGTTGATGGACGGCTGCCCGGAGGCTCGGGGTGGTTCTGGATGCCTTGCTCTCTATGGAGGCCCAGGTCACCATTGTTGCCAGGTCTGCCTTTCATCATCTTAGGCAGATCAGGCAACTGGTTCCTTACCTATCCACCCAGGATCTGGCCACTGTGACCAATGGTCATTTCCAGGTTAGATTACTATAACTTGCTCTATAACTTGATCCAGAAACTCCAGCTGGTGCAAAATGTGGCACATTCAGCCAGCACTCCGCCAATTGCACTGGCCACCAGTTGACTACCAGGTCCATTTCTTTCTCTCTTTTTTTTAAATCCCCGGAGGGATATTTTTTTATTTTGCAAATACTACAAAAACTACAAAGAAATATTAGGGAAGGGACTACAACTAAGGATAAAGGAAAGCAAACCACACTAAACTAAAACCCCAAGAGGAGGAGATCTTTTCACTGTTAGTAAAAATGTTAGTACTATAAGTGTTAATATCACAATATACTTGTAGAGTTCTTGCTTATAACAATTCACTATTTATATGTTATTTTATTAGTTGTTATGAGAGAAATCTCTGATCATCTTCTTATTCTTTGCTTCAAAAGGCCATTTTCCAAGTCCTTCTGCCTTTACTTCGGCTTTCTGTCTCTAAAATCGTATACCACTCTGGCAGGTCCTGCACCCTTTTCTGCCGCAGAGTCCTCTTCCGTTCCTGAGGTAGCAGAGTCACTAGACTTCGTTTCTTCCTCTTTGGACTCTTCATCTGTCCCCAGCTGACATCTCAAAAATTCTTTAGCTTTAAAAGTGGAGTCTATCTTCTCTCTTCTATCATTGATCTTAAAGATGACACCCTCCGGAACCACCCATCTGTACGATATTCCATTAGTTTGAAGGAAAGAAATTAAGTCCTTGTAATTTTTCCTCTTTTGTCTAATTTCAAATGGAATGTCCTTTAAGGTTTTGATGGTTACATTTCCCATTTTCAGTGGAGTTGCTGATGTTGCTTTTAAAATGGCATCTCTGGTTTGTCTTCTTGAAAACCTGACCACTATTTCTCCAGGTAGGCTATTTTTTAAATGTAATTGGAGTATGCCCTACAGGCTGTCTCCATTTCGTTTACAAGTTCATCCGCTGTTAAGCCTACTACTGGAGCGATGATCTCACTAAGCAACCTTTTCAAGTCTTCCCGATCCGTTTCAGGAACCCCCTGAAACCTGAGAACCATGTTAGCTTTTTCCATCTGTAGCTGCAAAACTCGATTCTCTTGACAATTCTGTTTCGTTTCCATATCTCCCATCCTTTTCTTCAACTTCTTGCTTGTGGTGTCTATCTTTTTAATTTTCTCATTTGCCTGCTCCACTTTTTTCTCTGTTTCGTGCAGCTGGAGCTGCTGTGCTGCAAAGCTTTTATTCATCACGGTCAATTGCTGGTTAATACCATCGAGTTGCTCCATCACCAGCTTGAGCATATCCGCCAGGAGTTTGAGGACATCTGCTCCCTCTTCCGGTCTCGGACTCTGACTGCCCGGCTTCGTTTTAAACTTTCTCTGCTGGGCCGCCATCTTTCCCGTTTTGTTTACAGTTTCTACCGCTTTCACACAACTTGGAAAACTCACCAAATGACTTCGCGATTCAGATAAGTCTCTCAAACCACTTTCGGTTTACTTCCTCCCCTCTCCCCCTTCATGTCCGTTAGCCACTCATTCGCATAAGAGGCGTCCCTCTTTGCAATCTCTGTTTTCAACTGCGGGGGGGGGGAATCGCTTTTCAAAACTCCATTTTATTCAGAACTCACGTTAATTGTCGGTCAGTTTCTCTGACCATGCACAGCTTTACGCCATTCCGCTCAATCTTCGGCGCTTGTCCCGGTCAGTCCAGCTTGTGCCCGAAGGCCACTCAGCGACTGGACCATCGGGGCAGAGAAGAGCCTCAATTCTCCGGCATTACGCCGTCGAAGAGGCTACCCCTCAAAAGCCCCCTGGCCTGGAGCCTATTGCAAAGGCTCCGCGGGGTTGCCACTTGAGGTGGCACCCCTCCAGGCCGCTGATGTGCGAATCTCCCTCCCCCGTTGTGGGGAGAGCGCCCGCCATCTCTGTTCCGTAGACTGGAAGTCTCACTACCGTTTCAAGGTGTTGGTTCTAACCTTTAAAGCCTTGAGTGGCCTGGGACTGACATATGTAAGGGACTGCCTCTCCCCATATACCCTTCCAGAGAGCCTTGTGCTCTGCTGATCAACATCTACTGGTTATCCCTGGTCCAAAGGATGTCTGTTTAGCCTCAACCAGAGCCAGGGTTTTTTCAGTCCTGGGCCCCACCTGGTGGAACAAGCTCCCGTTTGAGATCAGGCCCCTGCAGGACTTATTACAGTTCTGCAGGGAGCTGTTCCACCAGGCCTTCGGTTGAGGCAATGGGTGTCCAGCAGCATGGCCTCCTATGCAAAGCAGCCCTACTATATTTGCCCATGATTACAGTTATGTATGGAGCCTGAGTCAGCCTTCTAGACATACCGGGAACTGGTTGAGCTTGCTACTCTAGAACAATAGCTTGCCAGGATCTTGGAGTAGACCAATAGATAAGTAGTGTAATGTAAATAGCCTATCCTTAGGAGTGGATGTTTGTGGGGTGGGGTGTTTGCATGCTTTATAAGCAGGGCTCAAACCTTGCTGGGTGTCCTTGTTTTGTTCCTGAAATCACTAAATAAACTAGAGCTGATCACTGCAATGCAGCCAGAACCCAGTATTTAACAATTACCATCTGTCCAGCTGCTGGGGCTAATACAGGAATGTATGTTGCCATTTTTAGTTAACTGTATTTTAATTGTAATTTGTTTTAGATTGAATGTTTTAACATTTGACAATGAATTGACATGTGAATGAAATTTTGATGTTACCCACCCTGAGCTCACTTGTGGGAAGGGTGGGATAAAAATGCAATAAAATGCAAGAAAATAAATAAATAATTTAGATTACTGCAATGTGCTCTACGTGGGGCTTCCCTTGAAGACTGTCTGAAAGCTACAGTTAGTACAGAATTCTGCAGCCAAAGTGTTGACTGGATCATATCACTCCAGTCTTGTTCCATCTACAAGGTACTGCTATTTAAAGCCCTGTATGGTCTGTGACCAATATATACTAAGGGCCTCATTCTCCCATATGAACTTTTCCTTTCACTTCTGTCCATCTTTGGAGGCCCTGCTTCAGTTGCCCCCGCCAACTCAGACTAAATAGGTGGCAACACAGGAAAGAGCTTTTTTGGTCCTGCCACCAAAACTTTGGAACTCCCTCCCCAGCGAGATTTGTCTGTCTTCCTCTATCGGTGTCGTCCTCTATCGGACTCTTGGAGGATTGGCTACATTAGGGGTGTGTGGCCTAATATGCAAAGGAGTTCCAGCTACAAAAAGAGCACCACCACCACCACCGCTACTACTACTTGGTTTTGCTGATTTTATATATGTATTGTTTTTATAATGGATTTTTAATGTCTACTGGTTGTTTGCCTCCTTAAGGGCCCTTATTGGGTGGAAAGGCAGCATGCAATGTTTTAAATGAACAAACAATAGCTCTTGGAGCTGTTGAGCCACACCCGTTCTAGATTGAGGCCTTGCAGCAATTTTTTTAAAAAACTACAAATTCTTCTGAAATGGTGCCACTCTTGGGATGGACCCATGACCACGGTGATTTTTTTTAGTTTGGCTCTAAGGCACCTGGATCTTTTCTCTGCTCCAGCCCTTGCTCAAGATCCCTGGCATCTCGCACACTGTCAGACTGAGACTCCCAGCAAGAGGCCCCTCTGCCAGTACATCCCACCCCACCTCCACTGCGCCTACTCCTGGAGCTGTCAAAGGCACACCTCTTCCCTCCTGACTCGCAGGGCTCTTTTTGTAGCAGGAACTCCTTTGCAGGTTAGGTGACACACCCCTAATGTAGCCAATCCTCCAAGAGTTTACAGAGCTTCTTACAGGGACTACTGTAAGCTCTTGGAGGACTGGCTACATTAGGGGTGTGTCGCCTAATCTGCAAAGGAGTTCGTGCTACAAAAAGATCCCTGCCTGAGTCAGTGGAAGAAGAGAACACCAACTCACAGAGCTCTTACGAGAAAGAGAAGAACAGCCCCAGAGAAGAAGAAGTGACACTAACCCTTCTGCCATTCTAGTTCTGTCTCCACCTCTCCCTAATAACCCTTTCTCTGATAAACAGCAAGGCAGCAGTTGCCCTGCACGGGACTCTGTCCCTCTCCCCACCCCCAAGCTTTTCCCGGCAGCTGACCTGCTTTCGACGTACTCTTCCCCATCCTAACGGTCTTGTTTTCTGCTAGGGGACATTGGAGGCCAGATGGGCCTGTTCATCGGAGCCAGCGTCCTCACCGTCCTGGAAATCCTTGACTACATCTATGAGGTGAGGGCACTGGTAAGGCAGGCAGGAAAGTGACTGCGTGGAAGTCGCTCAGACTTGTGGTGGAGCGGTGTCCTGGGCTGGCAAAGCCACCCCCACGCTTACCTACACTCTGGGGACCTGGCTGGGGGGCCACAGAGACATCAGGGCAAGAGAAGCCCCCCCCCTCGACACACACACACGCCATTGGCATCAGGACCGAGTGACCGCAGCAACATTGGCAGGGCGGGAGAAACCCTCCCCACGCCCATGTGGCCCAGCAGAGGGCCCGGCTGCAAGCAGCAGCAGCAAAAGGTGGAGGCAGCTGGGGAAGGCGGGCAGAAAGGTGAGCCCAGGCAGACTCGCTTCCCAGGAGCAGCCTGGGAAGAAAGCAGGGAGGAGGCCCCACCAGCTTGCCCAGGGACGGCTGGCTCGGGTGCCCCGGCCATCACAGGCTGCGGGGGCTGGAGCGGGCCAGAGACAGAAGCCACAGAAGGGACCGGGAGAGAGACAGGGGTGGGGGACAGTGACTCCCCGGGGGCATCCCCAGCCAGCAGGAGGCTGTTTGGAAGCCTCAAGTCAGGCCGGGCTGAGGAGGAAGGGAAGCCGAGGGAAGCGCACTGGCTCAGAGACTGGGAATGAGTGGAGCCCCGCCCCTAACTGGGGGCCACTGGCAGGGCCTAGGCTGGCCCTGCCTCCAGGCCAGTGTTCCCTCTAAGCTGAGCTAGTGTGAGCCAGCTCACAGTTTTTTAGCCTCCGGCTCACAGATTTTTGTCTTAGCTCAGGAAGGACGGCTCCAAAGCAAACTAATTTCTGCAGCGGCCAAATGGCTCGCTCACAACTTCCATGCCAGTAGCTCACAGGGTAGAAGTTTTGCTCACAAGACTCCACAGCTTACAGGGAACATTGCTCCAGGCAGGCCTTTATGCGGCACAACTCCAAGGCCGCACGGGAGGACAGGCCCGGCTGCACCTCAGCAATCAAAGGGGGAGAGGGGGCCAAAAGTGTTGCAAAGTTTCCTCCTCCGCTGCCCTTTGCTGAGACCCATCTGGAGAGTGCTAAAGAAAGGAGGCGTCCAGAGGGCGTACCCTGACCCTGGAATTCAACCCCCAGGAGGGGAAGTCTGACAAGTAGTATCGAGCGATGCCTGGGAGCAGAAGGGGGGAGGCAGGACCAGGATTGCTGAGCGGTCGGGTTAGAACGGATAAACGGAAGAACTTCTTCACCCAAAGAGTGATTAACACATGGAATTCACTGCCACAGGAGGTGGTGGCAGCTACAAGCAGGGACGGCTTCAAGGGGGAAGTAGATAAGCATCTGGAGCAGAGGTCCATCAGTGGCTATTAGCCACAAGGTGTAGATAGGAACTCTCAGTCTGGGGCAAGTGATGCTTTGTATTCTTGGTGCTTGGAGGGGGGGCAATGGTGGAAGGGCTTCTAGTGTCCTGGCCCCACTGCTGGACCTCCTGATGGCACCTGATAGTTTTGGCCACTGTGTGACCCAGAGTGTTGGACTGGATGGGCCACTGGCCTGATGCTCTTATGCTCTTAGGTTCTTATGATTCACAGACATGCACACACTAAACCATTTATGCCCCTCTGCATGAGACGGGCAGCCTCCCCACACGTTGTGATGGCCCCCTCTCAGCAGAGGGAATGCCTTCCCCTCGAGCACATATAGCTCGCGACACCCCCTGCCTGCTGCTAGGGGCTAAGCCAATACAGCATCTGGCCCAGCAGGATATAGCGTCACTCGGCCTCTCGTTCCTTGAGCCTAGCGAGGGCCTTTCATGCCGGCATTGCCCATGCAGGATAGCTCTAGAGAAGCTCTAACCCTGGAGAATCTGGATGCCGTCTAGCACAGTGACACAAAACAAAGAGAAAGAGAGTGAAGGGTGAGTTAATAAGTACCTGAACCAGATTCGTATATGTGCCAAATGCTTACCTATATACCCTGTAGGCTGCAAAGTACACCTATCCAGCTGCCATTCTTCCTGTCTCTTTCTTTGCCTCCCAGGTGATCCGTGACAAAGTAGCCCATGGCCTAAGACGCCCGAAGCCCCCTCTGAAGAAGCCTTCAGGGAGCATTGCCACCTTGGGATTGGAGGAGATCAAGGAGCAGGTAAACTTGATGACTGGAAGGACCCATGGAAGGGAGTGAGGTGCCGTCCAGTGCTTTCCCAACTCTGAAACCCGTCTGCTGGGTAGGAGAGACAGCGGAAAAGAACAGACACAGGATGCTGCTTTGGTGGACCCTCACAACACCAATGATATCAGAAAACAGTATGGAAAGTTTGTGGGTTTTAGACATGAGAGTGTCTTTTGGGTCTGCTTTGGGTCTGACTGTCCAGTTTGTGGGAGATGCGTGTCGTTAGGGTCTTTCACACCTGTATCTTAGCACCTGGTAACTGAGCACATTGTGTGATGTGTAATATAATGCTGATGATAATTGCTGTTGTTAATAACAGCATAATGCCTCAGCATTACGTGCAGTACAATAATTTAGAAGGGAACAAGCCCTGCCCGCAGATGGACATGAAGTGGACATGAAGGGGCCTAGTTCAGCTTGCACACCTGATTACTGTCTGTTTCTCATGTGCAACAAATTTAGGTCTGGCTTAAACCCAATACTGTGTAAAACCAAGCGTTAATATCTACAGCGCAAAGAGTACAGTGCATGCAGTACAAACCGTACCTATATACAGTGCATGATACAGTAAAGTATTGCAATTGATGGGCTGCCGGCTAATTAAGACACGGTTTCATTGTCTTCTTCAGAATTGTTTCCGTTACAGTCCTTTTGGAGTCTGGCCTTGTACAGTTGTTGTAGACTGTTGTTTATATCTGCCAATCTTAGAAGAAGAAAAAGAGGACATTTAAAACATAAATCTGTGATCCAGTTTCTCGTATACAGTTCTGATCATTTTTCATGCACAGCTCTGATAACAAGGAGGTTCTAGTGCTCATTACCTTTTGTAGTTTCCTACAGAACTCTCCCCTCTTGTTCACCTTCTTAAACCCAGTGCTGGCATCTAACCTGGCACATGCCCAGTATCTTGTTTAAAGTCACAACATGTGCAGTGTTGGCATGCCAGAGATCTGTAGCCTTGCCAAGCATTGAGCTAGCCTGTGTAGCAGGACTGCCCACTTAGTGGCCCTGTTTAAATGAGATGCTGGGCATGTGCCATGTTACATAGATTTAAATTAGGCCTTAATGTGCTGAAACAAGTGACATTCCCTAGCTGGTGTCCTCAGCCAGGATCCAGTTGGCATGGGAAACGGATGATAGTGACCAGAATATGGGATATTGATTACTTCCTAAGCATCTGAGCTACATGATGAAATGGAGAAGTCTGCTTTCCAAACAGAGAAGATAAATCAGACTTGACTCCAAGAAACTGGAGTCAGCACCAGGGTTCCCGCTAAGCTGAGTTAGTGTGAGCTAGCTCACTGTTTTTTAGCCTCTGGCTCACACATTTTTGCCTTGGCTCAGGAAGGATGGCTCCAGAGCAAACTAATGTATGCAGCAGCCAAATCGCTCGCTCACAACTTTCATGCCGGTAGCTCACAAAGTAGAATGTTTGCTCACAAGACTCCACAGCTTAGAGGGAACATTGGTCAGCACCAGTGACTACAGAGAAAGCCGTGCATCCAAAGAGAGCGCTTCCAACTGAAAATGCATTGAGCAAAGTTTTCCTTACAGTGTATGATCAACTGGGAGCGCCGGGCCAAATCTTGCCCCTCTGCATTGCTAACAGCAGAATCATTGGAAGAGTGCAGATGGGCAATATTCATGGCAACAGCCAAAATCTTTCCCCTTTTGCACTGCTAACAGCAAAATCATTGGAAGAGGGCAGATGGGCAATATTCATGGCAACAGCAGTTGGCGGGAGTCCTTTGCCGGGAACTGGGTTTGAGGCCTTGACTCATCACTTAATCCCTTCTCAGCAAGATTCTTTCAGGGAAACTCTTTGCTGACCAGAGGTTTACGGAGAAGTCCTTTAGCTTTTTAGAACGCTCTCTCTTTCTGTTCCTCCAAAGTGAAGAGAGTGCATTCTCAGTCTGGATGATAAGTCCAAGGAAATACATCAAAGGACCAAATGGACATTCAACAGACACAGTTGTGTGTAGAAATTCACCCACCTCTGTGGACTGTCAGTGAAGCAAATTAGCACAAAAAGAGAAGATACAAGGTACAACTGGATATGGCTGAGTGAGAAAACATAACCAACAAAATAGTAGCTGTCCCCCAGATAAAGGATGTGACATATTCTACTGCCCTAGCTCTAAGAACATGAAATCAGAGAGCTAACCAGTGTCAGCATTCAGAAAGCAGCCTTAACACCCATGATATTAAAAGAGAGGACAGGTAATATGAAAGACTCCAGTATTTGAAGAGCTCACGTATAAAAAGGAGCTACCGAAAGATTGCATATCTCATAAGTCGCTGATAAATCTCAGACCTGAAGCAACTAAGAAGCTGATAGGGCTATTCAACAGTTGAAAAGCGTTCTGACTTCCAGTTTTTGGCGCCTCAACGATGGTGGCGTCTCTCAGTTCCTCCGAGAGACCCGAGAGACTGGTGCCATGAATCGGGGATTAGGAGGGAGCTCGATTGTGCGTGCTCCCCCATGGAATCCATAGGCAATGGACTCCTAGCCAGGGGGCTTTGGAGAGCCCTACCTCCGGCCGACAGCCAGCACAGGGGGGCTGCTCTCTGCCCCGAAGGTTCTGCCCTGATTCCCTGCGACCACCGGGACAAGCGTATGAAGGTTTGGCGATTTTACTCTGCCTAGCGAGATCCCAGGGAGACCTGCTGGATCATTTTTGAAGATGGATGAGTGAGTTTAAGTTAAAGCGAGACATCGGAGCCCTGTTGCGAAGCCCCCACGAACTAAAGCGGGAAGGGGGAGGGGACGCCCTACCCCCTCAAGCGAATGAACAAAGCGGGATGGTGGGGGACTGAGCTAACAGTGGCAATGGATTACAGTAGAAGGACTAGATCAGAGAAATCTCCTAATAAAAGCGTTTACAGACCTTTGAGACTTTGGCAACTTCAATCGGTAAATGTAAACAACCCTCCAAGATGGCGATTGAGGGAGGTGGGATGCAAGCCTCTCAGGAAGAAGAAAAACGGAGGGGTAGGTCAGGTTACCTAACCATAGACTCTTCCTACAGCATAGAATCGGGTGCCATCTGCTGGCTAAAGTGGGATATTCGATGGAACGGTTCTAAATGTGGCGAGACTTTTAAAGGCGAATCTTGGTTTATAGACGAAATTGAGATTGTGTATAGCTTGTATTGGATGGTGGCAAGCAGATTAAAAAGCGATTGGACTCTTGACCATAACAAGCGAGTGAAAGCCCTGGAAAAGGAAAGCGGTACTAACTGGACAGAGCCTTTTTCATTAAAGCTGTTTATGAAAGAAGAATCAACAGAGAAGGAAGAGGACAAATTGAGATGACTGTATGGACTGAGTGAATCTAGGCTCCACAATGTCGTGTTTGTGGGGAGGGAGGGGAAGCGCAATGGGAGATGACAATGTCTTTTAAGGTCTCTATACTTCTTAATTAGCTTTGGAGCTATTATCTGTCTAGACAGATAAGATGGATTTTAACTTGAAGCGATGAACAAGGAAACTCCTCATGTCGGAAGTTAATTGATAAGAGTTACAACTTTGTATCTATAAGCATATGTAACCTTCTACACTTGGGCTTTTAGTGCCTTTTTCTCTGTCTCCCTTAGTCTGTAGTCTTTCCCCTCCCCTTCTTTCGTTATAGTTATGTAGTTGTTTTAGAAATGCAAATAAAAAAATCCCCTTCGGGGGTCAAAAAAACCCCAGTTGAAAAGCGTTCTGAGGAAATACATAAGATTTAAATAGAAGCTAAAGTTGTCTTATTAGAGACAAATAAGTGTGCAGAATTTTTTTAAACCCTAGACCGAGACTAGTGACTGTATTCCACCCACAGAAATAGGCTTCGGCACACCAGTTATCTTCAGCACACAGCCAAACGGCTGCTGTTAAGGGGAAGAAGAAAACTGGATCCAGTGGTGAGAAAGCTGAAGGCAGAACTGAATGGATTACCTCATTCAGAAGATCACTGTGCGGCTAAAAAGACCACTGCTGTCTGCACATCTGGTTCCCTAGTTCCGAGCAAGGAGTCTAGAAAGCTATCCTAAGGAATCTCTAGTTTAAAAACTTCAGAACAGATTATGTGAATATTTAATTTTCATTTGCCTCCTGTATTTTATTGTGGAAAATGTCTTTGAGAGAAAAGTTTCCTCCTCTCCTTCCCCCCACTCCTTACAAAAGTTTTTTGTCTGAAGCAGTGATAGAAGCTTTAGGAAGGGGATAAAGGACAGAGGGCAAGCAGAAACCAAGCCGGTGGGCTATGGGGATGTCTCCCCCCCTTTTAAAAATAATTTTAGTAGTTTATATCAAGAAAATAAGGAAGGGGAAAGGAAGGAAGAAAAGAAAAATACAGAAATATTCAAGTTCCAATTTAGCATTCTGCATGCATTCATTACAATTTCATAACTATTTCATCTATCATTCCTATTATTCTTCACAATCTTATTTTCTCAATACTTAAGTTTTAACCAGTCATAAAATGCCCTTCAGGGTCCCATAAATTCTTCTTCCATTTTTCCTTTTAATATATTTGTCAACTTGTCTGTTTCAGCACATTTCCATAATCTTCATTATCAACTCATGTAGCGTTGGAATCTTCAAAGTCCTCCATGCCATTGCAAATAACATTCTAGCAGTTGTTATAACATGTAAAATAAAATATCTATGATTCTTATTTAACTCATCTGGTAAACAGTTTAACAAAAATATCTCAGGCTTAGAAGGTATTGTGAGATTCAAGATTGACTTTAGGAAAGTATGCACTTCAATCCAGAATTTATGAACCTTTTTACATGTCCACCACATATGATAGTACGGCCCAATATGGTTGTTACATTTCCAACATATATTACTCAAATTTTTGTACATTTATCATATGATTTTTAAAATAGTTATGTCCAGAGGCTTTCCCATAGGAGTGCCATCCCAGTTTTTAATCATGTCCTTCTAGAGCCAGAAGTAGAATCCATTCTCTCAGCCAAACCAAACTT